GCATAAAGAATCACTTTCAGATTTAAATAAAGCATACGGAATAAAATCAAATAATACAGGTGAAACTTACTTAAGATTTGGGACCTGTACAAATTGTAAAAAACACAACACTGGATTTTATTATTGTCATTCTTGTGATCCTCAAATAAAACAAAAATGGACAAGTGGAAATTCTGAATTAGATAATTTTATAAAAAATGCACAAATAAATTCTAAATATTATCATAAAGTAATTGAATTTATACCTTATGATAAATTGGAAGATGTTAAACAAATTGGTAAAGGTGGTTGTGGAACAGTTTATTCTGCAACCTGGATTGATGGTAAACGAACATATAATATAGGTAAAAATAATTATGAAGTATTATTGTCTCGTGAAAAATGCAAGGTGGCCCTTAAGTTAAATGAAAATAAGAATGCGTTATCAGATTTTTTCAATGAGGTAAAAGGAAATACACTAATTTATATTAGTTAAATAAATAAATAAATTACTAATATGGTAACACTTTAATTATATTAGTTCAAAATACATTATGAATGTCAACTCAACAGATATAGTGTAGATAAATATGGAATAGAAATATATGGAATAACTTATGATCCTGATCGCAATGAATATCTAATGGTTTTTGAGTATGCTGATAAAGGAGATCTCCGTCACTATATATCAACAAATTTTACAAATCTTGTCTGGAAACAAAAATTAAAGTTTCTTTGTTCAATTTCTGATAATTTAGATTATATACATCAAAGCTATATTCATGGAGATTTTCACAGCGGCAATATACTTATGATTAGTACTAGAGATGTCAGAAATATTCCTTACGAAGTAGGTGATAATTTAGCGGTAATTTCACTAAATGTAGGAGATAAAATAAATATAGAAGCCAAAATTTCAGATTTAGGACTATCCAGAAAAATAAATGAAACTACTTCAAATAAAGTACGTGGAGTAGTATCTTATACAGCACCTGAAGTATTATCAGGAATGCAGCCTACAAGAGAATCAGATATTTATAGTTTAGGCGTAATTATGTCAGAAGTTTCAACAGGCAAACTACCTTTCGAAAATATATCACATCAAACAACTAGTTTTAAATGCAATATAACCAGAGGATTACGGCCAGAATTTGCCTTGGAAACACCTGAAGTTTATATAAAACTTGCAAATCAATGTATGGATAATGATCCAAAGAAACGACCAACTGCCAAAGAAGTCTATGAACAATTGCAAGAATGGGAAATAATCCTTAATAAAGAACAAAATCAATTAAATGAAGAACAAATTAAGATAAAAAATAAATTTTTAGAAGCAGATAAAATTATTCCCACATTATTAACAACTTCACACAAAAATCAAGACGCTATTAATGCTTGTCAACCTATTAGCGAACTTGATATTTCAGAGACATCTGAGCTAATAGATACTCCAGGTAAATATAAGTTAAATTCTTGTTTATTTCATATTATTTTATTTTATTTTTTTGTTACTATCATTCTAAACAAATTTATGCCATGATAGATTCCGAAATTATTAATCTTGAGATCCTATGATAGATTGATTTATGATTTGATATGTAGGTTAAAATGTAATAAAAAGTGGAATAACTGACGTTGCAAACTTAATCAAATTTAGATGCTAAAATAATTTACATTACACAAATATTTTGTTTATAAACATAAAGATCATTATATAATAATTAAATGTAGAATTATAAAAGCAAAAATTATAATTGTCGCAGACTATGTTTATTCCTCAGAATATTTAATGATGTATTAGCACCCAGAAAATGTTGCGTTTGAATGATGATGCGGAAAATGTTTACTTTTTTTTTTCTTTTTACAAAGATTTTATTTTTCAATTATACCGATAATATAAAGCAATATTTAATACAATTTACAACACATATCTAATGCAAAATAATACAAATAAACTTGAATTTCCCCATTATAATAGTTTATTTCTTTTTAACCATTTG